TGGTTCCCCATCTGTAAGGTGGCCTGATGATGCCTGTCTGGTGCTGTCACGTGACAGTTGGAGATGGAAGTATATGTACAGTTCCTGGCACAGTGCCTGGTGTGGAGGATTTTATTTTATCTTTTATCAGAGCAGGAATAATATTTATCTTTTAAATATATTTTATTGATTATGCTATTACAGTTGTTCCATATTACCCTCTTTATTCCCCTCTGCCCTTCACACCCTCTCCCACCCACATTCCCCCACCTTTAGTTCATGTCCATGAGCTGTACATAAAAGTTCTTTGGCTTCTACATTTCCTATACTGTTCTTAACCTCTCCTTGTCTATTTTCTACCTACCATCTATGCTACTTATTCTGTCCCTTTTTCCCCTCTCTCCCCCCACTCCCCCCTGATAATTTCCCATGTGATACTCATTTCTGTGATTCTATTCCTATTTTAGTTGTTTGCTTTGTTTTTTGTTTTGTTTTTTAGGTTTGGTTGTTAATAGGTGTGAGTTTGTTGTAATTTTAGTGTTCATATTTTTGACCTTTTACTTAGATAAGTCTCTTTAACATTTCATATAATAAGGGCTTGGTGATGATGATGAACTCCTTTAACTTGACCTTATCTGGGAAGCACTTTATCTGCCCTTCCATTCTAAATGAAAGATTTGCTGGATAGAGTAATCTTGGATGTAGGTCCTTACCTTTCATGACTTCAAATATTTCTTTCCCACCCCTTCTTGCCCTTGAGAAATCAGCTGACAGTCTAATGGTAGGTAACTCTCCTTTTGTCTTGCTGCTTTTAAGATTCTCTCCTTACCTTTAGTCTTGGCTAATGTAATTATGATGTGCCTTGGTGTATTCCTCCTTGGGTCTAACTTCTTTGGGAATCTGAGTTCCCTGGACTCCCTGGAAGTCTATTTCCTTTGCCAGATTGGGGAAGTTCTCCTTCATTATTTGTTCAAATAAGTTTTCAATATCTTGGTCTTCCTCTTCTCCTGGCACCCCTATGATTTGGATATTGGAATGTTTAAAGATGTCCTGAAGGTTTCTAAGCCCCTCCTCATTTTTTTTGAATTCTTGTTTCTTCATTCTGTTCTGGTTGAATGTTTCTTTCTTCCTTCTGGTCCAAACTGTTGATTTGAGTCCTGATGTCCTGCCCATCTCTGTTGGTTCCCTGTAGATTTTTCTTTATTTCACATAATGCAACCTTCATTGCTGCCTGGGTCTTTTTTATGCTGTTGAAGTACCCAGTGAGTTCCTGGAGCATCTTGATAACCAGTGTTTTGAACTGTGCATTTGATAGGTTGCCTGTCTCTTCATGGCTTAGTTATATTTTTTCTGGGGCTTTGACCTGTTTTTTCATTTGGGCCTTTTTTTTTTTTTTTTGGTCTGGGCACACCTGTTACATAGTAAGGGGAGGAGCCTTAGGTGTTCTCCAGGGCGGGGTAACCCACGGGTCAGGGTTGTGATGCTGTATGTGGGGGAGGGGTCCAAGAGGGAACAATGCAGCTTGCTCTTGCTCCCCTCTCTGCTGGTTTTCAGTCACTTCCCCTGCTACCCACAAGCAAATTGGGCCCTTCTGGGTGGGTGGGTTTGTGTATATTCTAGGACTCTGTGGGCCTCTCCAATGAGCTCTCCTGTGAGGCTGGGAGCTTCTCCTGCTGCCTCAACCTCCACAGGTGTTTTCAATTAGAGGTTTGAGGCTTTATTTCCACGTGCTGGGACCCTGGGTTGCGCAGTCTGTCTCCCCAGTTGTTCCTCCCGGTTTATCTGCACAGGAATGTGGGACCCCCTGGTCTTCCAGCCACCTCCTTGCTGCGAGTCCTACCTACCTGGCTGCCCATCTCCACCCCTCCTACAGGTCTGCATGAATGTTTCTTCTTTAACTCCTTGGTTGTCAGACTTCCATGCAGTTCGATTTTCTGTCAGTTCTGGTTGTTCTTTTTGCTTTTGAATGTGTTATTGTCCTTGTTTTGGTTGTGCAAGGAGGCACAGTGTGTCTACCTACACCTCCATCTTGGCCCAGGATTTTAGTTGGTACTTTGTTCCTTAAATTAAAAAAAAAAATAAATTTATTTTGGTATGGAACAGTTGAAAAAAATTTAAAGGTTTTCTTTCATTATCTTGCTTTAGATAATTCCTAGAATTAGAATCACTGGTTCAAAAGTTATGACAGTATTCTCTTAATCTATTATATGGTTTTATGAAAAAACATAATTCATGGTATATGGTGGGTATAGCGCATATAAAACAGGAAGAGCGGGGAAGGTAGATGTTAGGTCTCCCTCCAGCTTTGAGAGGTCACTGTAGGGTAGTGAAAAGGGTATTCGGCTTTGAGGTTGACACACTGCATTTGAACTGTGGCCCGTGCTAGGTCAGCATGGTGGTTTGGGGTAGGTCATACACTCTCTGAATCTCACTGTGTCTGTAAAATGGGGAAAATAATGACCACATCATAGTTACATGGATTAAATGAACCTGCAGAAAACAGCTCGTGGTCTCCTGTGTTCCTCCATAGCTTCTGGCAGAACACTGTTTATTTACAGGCATTCAGCAAATAAATATTCAGTGGGTGAGTAAGTGTAATTGCTTGGGGGGTGGAAGATATTGCAAATTAACCATGAAAAAATATGTGTACTTGATCAACACCTTCACCTTGAAATATTCTAGAAGAGTCTGTGGTGGGTATGTGGTGGGATAGAGGGGTGTGATAGGTCACTGGGTTTTATTTAATTGTGTTGAATTAGAGTCTGCATTTATTTAATCGGTGGAATGTACCTGGTTCTTGAAGAAAAACCCTCCTTGTTTGCCTTTTCTTTCTGGCTCAGCATCCTGCTTACTGCCCCCCTTGCCTCGGGGGTGACTGCCTGCCTTCCCTCTGCTGAGTTCTAATGCTGGTATATTTTCATCTTTCTGGTGAAAGTTAATCATAACCCAGCACCCACTATCTGTTATGTCATTTATCTGTTGTGTCACTTTTGTCAGAGAGGCGTTAATAATTTACTATCGGTGAATTACCATGTTGTTTCAGATTTTAAAATAAAAAACTTTACAGAGCCAGGTCAAGCCCTTAAACCTTTTCTTCTCACCCTTCCCAGAGGTGTCTAAAGATGGTGGATGTCATACTATTGTGTGATTTAATACTTTATATGTACATACACACGAACATTGTATGGTAGTGGTTTGTTAGCATTTCCAACTTAAAAATTGGTCCTATACCGTATCCTTTTACAACATGCTGTTTTACTTGACATTGTTTTTGAGATTTAGCCAGGTAGATCTAATTAATTCATTTTCATTGTTCTGTCATGCGGGAAAGTTGAACGGTTTGCTTATTCGTCCCCTAAAGGTTAGACAGGTCATTTCTAATCTTTTGCTATCTGCAGGCATATACAGCTCATAGGCCTGGGTGAGAGTTTCTCCAGCCAAAAACAAGCAGCAGACTTGAGGCATTCCCTGCCCAGTTGCTCTTGAGGGTGCGTTAAGTTACACTCTTGCCCACGTTTTAGAGTCCTTTTTACTGACCTGCCCGCCTGCACCTTAAGCAAATTTAGTCTCTATGGCTATTGTGTGGGTATGAAGTGGCACTCCATTGTAGTATTGACTTAAACCTCTTGCTTACTAGTGCTATGAAGCATCTTCTGCTCTTTCTCTTTCTTTTTTTTTGCCATCAGGTTTTTTAAAAATCTGCTAGACCTTCCCACTGATTTGTTCTGTGTGTTCCTCTGTTACATCTACTGCAAATGCCTTCTCACATTTCCACTTTATTTTTGTCATACAGATGATTGGATATTAATGTGTCAAAATCATCAGTGTTCTACTTTGTACGGGCTGTGTTTTTTTGTGTGTGTAGCACCTTACAACATTGATTAAGCCTGTAGACCTAACCAAATTTCAGGAAATACAGAGGATGAAGATAGATGAAATGGTGGGGGACAATTAGAAAAGTTTAGGGCACAGGAAACTGACAGTTGAACTGGTTTCTTCAGCAAATTTCAAGGAAGAAAAAAAGAACAGTGGAGGGGGAACACCCATAAATTTAAAAATATCTAACATTCAGTACGGAACTCCTTTATATCTGATGCAACCTGGTTCAGAGTATGAAACAGTTTTTGAGGTAATTAAAGAAATATAAAACCTGAATATTTGATTCTAATGAATTATAAAGTTGACAGTGGGTGTGTTTTTTAAAAGTTGCTATTTTAGAAATAGACACTTAAATATTTAATAATGAAATCATACAGTATTGATATTTGCTGCAAAAATTCCTGGAGGGTAGTGGGTGTAAATGAAACCCAGCTGATCCTGAGTTGATTAATTGTTGAGAGTGGCTAATGGGTACCTGGGGCTTCAGTACGCGGCTCTCTCTGGCTTTAAAACGTAGGTATGAAATTTTCCATTAAAAATATCTTAAATACATAGAACCAGAGACATGGAAACTTGGAACAGATTCACAGTGACCAGAGGGGTGAGGGGCAGGGGATAATGGTGGAAAGAAGGGGTAGGTATTTGTCAAAGAACATGTATGAATGACCCATGGACATGGACAGCTGTGGGGACTGACTGACGGAGTAGGGGGTGGGCTGGGCGGAGGAGGGCAAAGGGGGAAAAAGTGGGACAACTGTAATTGAGTAACAAAAAATAATACCGAAGGCATTCTAAGAAATGAACTTTCACTTGTTTTTTTTTAAGTAATTTATAGGTTGCTATTTTTGAGACTCTAAAACTATTTTGAGACTGTAATGTATAGTATTTTCAAGTTTAGTTTCTAAAATATTTTTACAACAGATTTCAGATCAAATCTTGGTCACGGACAATGGCTTTTTTTTTTTTCCATTTGATTTAAGGGAAAAGATTTTGAACTCTTGAGAAACAAGGCTTTCCTTTAAAACAGGTTGCACGTGGAATTATTTGATCAACGGAAAGGGTTTCTTTTTTTTACAGCCAAATCCTTTTTCCTTGGAGCCTCTCCTGGTGAATAATCAATTTTCTCTTTGGTTCGCTTCCAGATCACCTTTTTCATGCTGCTCTCTGCAGTGTGCGTAATGCTGAATCTGGCCGGCTCCATCCTCTCCTGTCAGAACGCTCAGCTTGTCAGCTCCCTAGAAGGCTGTCAGTTGGTGAGTAATGAAACGCAAACCTTTTGACGAAGGTCACAGGCTTTCATTTTGCACGAAGGTAATTTTGAACATCATTTGATTGCATCCTTGGATTTATTAGGATAGTTCATGGTTGCTCAGGGAATTAAAGTTGACTCCTTTCTAAAAATTCTCACAAATGAGCACTTGTACAGCCTTTGTACAAGCGTATTAATAGCATATTTTGTATAAGTGTACAACAGCATATTTCTAAGGATCACAGTGTAGTGCTATTGCAGAAGGAATCTCTTTAGTAACAATCCTATTCTAGCATTTGTTGCATTGATTTTTCGCTCCTGGGTTTTTAGAAATCAATTTTGTAAGTCCATTTTAAGTGCCAATATACCACTATATATATATATGAGAGAAGTGCATCAAAACAATTTTGGTCTCAGAATTTCAGTGTTAAAAGAGAATTAACTTTTAGATCTAGGATAACTGTAGACAGTGTGCTACGTACATTGTAGGGGATCATAAAATTGTTGCATAGAATCATCATTCCATACCATGATTTGGCTCCTGTTACAGTAATACGTGCATCCGGCTGGGGCAGAAATTGACATATGCCTGGTTGCATTTGGTAAGGGTCTAGTTGGACTGGCTGCTGAGTATGGGGACGTGAGCATCTGTTTCTGTATCTTGGAGACAACACAGGGCTCCCTTTCAGAGCCACACTTTTCCTTCCCAGCCGCCCATGAACTTGCTCAGCCTGTGGCTCTCATTTCTGAGAGGCTGTACACCATTTCACCGAAGCTTTTCTGTAGCCAGGTCAGGTCTCCATTTCTCAGGGCCATGCTGTCTGGGTCCAGACAGGCAGCTGCTGCTTTGACATCCCTTACCTACCAAAGCCAGCGGGTCTAGTATAAGTTGGCCTAGTTTCGGTGCTGAAACAGCTATGAATTCCAAAAACGAACTGTGAGAGCTTCATCTTGTCATTTGCTGTTCAGTATGGCCTGGACCACACTGACCAGATTGCATCCCAACATGATGTACACAGAGTGTCCTGTGTGTGCAGTATATGCCCCAGACTGCTAAGAACTCTCACAACCTGGAGCCCCAGCTCTATCAGAAAGGGTGACTTGCTTATACCCGCAACTTAATCAGCTTCTTGCTTCCGAAATACTAAATGCTATAAATATGGTAAACTCTGGCCATGTCCATGGGATTGGCCATTTTCTCTGACCCTCTATTTCCAGTGCAAGGGAGGCAGAGTGATTGGGGAGATGAATCAACAAGCCTGCAGGTCCAGATCCCAAGGAACGCCCAGTGCCCAGTCTGGAAAGGCTCTCTCCTGGCCTTAGCCTCAGGGCTTGCTTCCCTGTTCCCTATTCTGCATGAAAGGGTAGGAAAGGGGCGACTTATATACACAATTTTATATTTATGTATAATATATATATATACATACATATGCACCATTTACGTTTTTTCTTCTGTGAATCGACTAGGACCTTTACCCATTTTTAGATTTCATAATTTATCTTATTGATTTGTAAGAATTCTTTATTACGGTTCTGAGTCCGGCAGCTTATATAGCTCAAATACGTGTCCTGGATTGTTACTTGTTTTTTAATTTTATTTTTTGACCTATACTCTGGTTTCTCTTCAGATCGTATAAATCTTTCGCCTTTTCAACCTAGAAAAATTTTAATTTTTGTGTATTCAAACCTATGAACGTTTTCCTTTGGGGGCGTCCCTTGGAACCAATCACCAGATCTCCTCCTTCCCAAGATCACGTGACCCGAGTAATCTCCCCCAATTATATGTGCCGTTTCATATAGTTAATTCTGTTAATATTCTGGAATTCATTTGATGGATTTAAGTTCCCCCCGGCACACACAAGAAGTGGGTAGCTAGCTTTCCTAAAACTATGTCTTGAGTAACCCAGTATTTCCCTGGTGATTTGAGATGCCACCTGAATTATTAAGAATTATTCTTTGGTGACAAGGTACAATAATGGACAGCTCCGGAAGGCTTTCCTTGGAAGGACGGCGGGCCTGTAGGTTATCCGAGGCCTAGAGGTGAAGCTCGGAAGCCATGGGTGTGAGGCCTGAGCCGGAGAGGGGTCCCATGTTCCGGTAGCAGGAGTCCCGGCCTCACCGGTGTGCAGGTCTGCAGCCGTGAAACGTCCCAGCGGTCCTTAACCTCTTCGTTCGCGCTCTGTCCGCAGAAGCCAGAGGGCGGCGTTCTGATTGGCCAGGACCAGAAAGAATCGGCTTCTCTGTCCCGGCAATGGGACCCAAGAAGTAATTGTCATACAGAAAGTTAAGGGAGCGGGGGAGCAGGAGATGTGTGCTGGGTGGTCACAGTACGGCTAGCCAGCGCCTGCTCTCCCGGCATTATCATACGTGCTTACGTGCTCACGCACGCACATGCGCAGATAGGCCCATCGGTCTTTCTGGACCCCTGAGTGATGGAGGAGAGCTGCGAGGAGTGCTACCTCTGAGCACGTGATACAGGCTCTCTAATTTATTCCCGACGACTGTGCCTCGGAGGCAGGCCGCCTGTTATCCCTGCTTCCAGGTGAGGAAGCGGAGACCTTGAGGGTCACATAACTTTCCCGAAGTCGCGGAGCTGGCAGGTGCTGGCATCAGATTGTGCCCTGTGCTCTTCACCCTCCATGAATCATGGAGTTTTTGTTTCACATGACAGTGGAACTGTAGAATTATGCTAACAATTAAAAGAGGAGATGTCCCTGGTTGGTGTGTCTCAGCTGGAGTGTCGTCCTGTAAACTGAAAGGTTGCGGGTTCAGTTCCCAGTCAGGGCATGTACCTGGGTCGTGGGTTCGGTGCTGGTCAGGGCGCATATGGGAGGGAACCGATCCACGTTTCTCCCATCCATGTTTCTCTCCCCCCCCCTCCCTCCCTTCCCCTCGCTCTAAAATCAATACACCTGCCCTCAGGTGAGGGTAAAAGAAAAAGAGAGGGAGAGAGAGCGAAGGAGATGGAGGAGAAGCCTTGGACAGTAGAGGTAAAGACTATATCCCGTTCATTTTTAGTTAAAGCACATCTTTGAATACCTCTTTTGAAATAGAGAATTGAAGGGAACCTGATCCACAGCTTTGATATCGCAACAAAAGGAGGTGAACACAGTAGGCAGTTTTCTGAGAAGTGTGAGCTCTTCTGTCCAGCCATATCAGGCACATCACTGGAGAAAAGTCTTCCATGAAGTACGTACCAACGTGGCTTATGTACTGGAGAAATGTCTTCTGTGAAGTACGTACCAACGTGGCTTATGTACTGGAGAAATGTCTTCTGTGAAGTACGTACCGACGTGGCTTACGTCGAGGGTCCCCGTGCGCACACCAGTGTTCTCCTGACCCCAAATCCTTTCCCGTGAGATGCGTCACCCCGCAGGGACAGCGCGATTCATCCGCGTCAGCTGGGCCACCTGGCTGGCCCTTGATCCCACTGTACCTGTGATCTGAAGGCTAATTGTGCGTCTCTCTAGTCTCCGCCCACACTGCGTGTTGCGTACCTGTGTCCCCCAGAACAAAAAAAGGGTGGCCTCAGGGGACCTGACACTTGGGCAGGCGATTTGATGGAGAGCAGATCCCCACCTGCTACTTCCTTGTCTGCCTCTTTCTGATCGGAGGGCTTCGTCTGCTTTTCTCCCTGGCGTGCACCCCCAAGCACAGCACCCGCTGTCTGGGAGGGGAGGCCAGCATGCGGCCCTTTTCCTAAAAGCAGCTTAACAAAGGGCTGTCCGTAGGTCCAGGAGAACCGGTGATAAAGAAAAGCCTCTGGTAGCAAAGGAAGAAGGGTCAATGTACTTGGGAGTTCTAATCCCCACCTTCTTTTTTCCAAGTTCACCTGGGTGACATAGAAGGGCTGCTGATTCTCTCAGGGGGCTCTTCCCCGCTGTGGTGTGCCCCAGCGTCTCCTGAGGCAGGAATGGCCAGGCTGTGGGACCGGCTTATGGACATGGTGAAAAATGCAACTGTAGAACTTACAGTTAAATATGTTATTTTATAAACAAAGGTAATGTATAATTAGAACTCAGTACCTCTTTCTTTAAACATACATTTTACTATTTTCCTGATCTTGAGGTTGTTTACGTCTATTGTATCCTTATACACAATATAACGTGTTATATTAGTCAGGGTTCTCCAGAAAAACAGAACTATATAGGAAATTTATGTGAGGAGTTGGCTCACAGGACCACGGCGGCTGAGAAGTCCCATGTCCTGCTGTCTGCAAGCTGGGGACCCAGCATAGCCTCCGGCCTCACTCAGTCTGAGCCTGAGGCCTGGCAGCCAGGGAAGCCGAAGGCCCCTCAGGACTACATCCCGGCCTGAGGGCAGGAGGAGATGCCGTGGCCCAGCCCAACAGCGAGGCAGGAGATTCAGGGTGAATTCCTCCTTTCTTCACCTTAGTTCCATCCGGGCCTCCAGGGGATTGGACACTGCCGCCACCTTGGGGAGGGCTGTTCCCGTCACTGAGTCTGCCAACTGAAATGCCAACCCCACTGGCGAATACCTTCCCAGACGCACCCAGCAACAGTGTGGAATCTGGGCACCTGTGGCCAGTCCTCTGAAATGGAAAACTCTTGCAGAGACACTTGTAGATTTGCCCAAAGTTGTTAGTGTCACAGCCACAACAGGGACCTTGGTACGTACAACCAGCCCATCTAAGCCAGATTGCCCCATTTTCACTTGACGTGTCTGCCTGTGTGAGTGGGTGCACCAAGTTAGGGGCACTTTTCTCACTTGCGTAGGTTCGTGTACGTACCACCTGAGCCGAAGGCCTGAACTGTGTCAGTGCCACGGCCCCCCTCCGGCTGATCCTGTTAACGCCACACTCACCTTCCTTCCACCCTGACCTCAGCTCCTGCGACCACGAATCTGTGCACCGTCTCCAGAATGTTGTCGTTTCCAAGGAGTTACGCAAATGGAATAATCAGTCTGCAACCCTTTGGAACTGGCTTTTTTCATTCAGCGTCATTCCATAGAGATCCATCCAAGTTGCTGGGTATATCAGTCTGT